GAGAGATAGTCAATAGTATAGAGAACCAGCAACAGGTAGAAGAAAACCTGTCTCCCTTGACTTGAAGTCATTTAGCAAAGAGAATATTGCCTATTTTTATATTCTGTTATCAATAATCTAAATTATTGATTTAGGGATAGGGGAGAAAAAAGAGTCAGAGGAATAAGAAAGCATGTAATTTCCTCTTTCCTGATCTAAGTAGCTGAAACTATTAGTCTAGGCTACACGAACGGAACAGATGAAAGATTTAAAAACAGTAAGTAACAATTTTCATAATTGGCAGTGATCGAAAAGTTACACAAAGAGGCTCAGATATCATGAAGGAAATCTACTACTCACAAAGCAATAGAACTTCAATGGAGCACAATTGGATGTTCCTGAAAAATAAAAATTTCATGTGCAGTTCAGTATTTTTCCTGTCAAACCAGTTACATAACCATTTTGATGAAAAACTTCCACTAAGCATGCTAGCAAATGTCCAAATTACTAAAACAGCATGATACCATTGAAATTTCACCAGACAAAAGTACAACCTCATTCAACACAAAGAAACTTCTATACCACTTCCTAGATACACTTTTAACAATGGTCCCCCTTTACCTCTCTAACTTGTATAAATGTTTATATATAAGTACACTTTAAATTATCATCACTGAAACCCATGTTCATGTGGCTATAGTCAAATTTTGTCTCTCAGCTACCTACCTACCTATCTGCCTACTTACTACCTACCTATACATCTCCCAAATTTCCCATACATAACGCCTATCAATCAGCCTATCTTCCATCTACTCAATAGGGATTTGATTTACACACACAATGGACTGCTTCAATTTATGACAATACTCTGCAATTGTAAGCCATCCATTTTTGAAACAAAACTGCTAAAAATGACATTAGTAAAAATGTCATTTTCATAGTTGAATACATTTTTCAAATGATAATTTTAAGTTGTCAAAATATAACAGTCTACAAGGTCAAAAATCACCATACCTAAAAGCACAGTTGAGACTTTAAAAAATATTTTTTTTTCCTCTAATTAGGGTTTTTATTTGGAAATATAGGCAATTCTTTTCAACAGCCGTGCCATTACAAATTACATATATCTTTGCCATGTGGCATGGTTCACTAATTTTTATACAATAATTGAGATTTACTGCCCAAATGTAAGCTGTGATTTTAGAAATGTGTGAGATGAAGAATGTAGAGTCCCGATCTCTGGGTGCTTAATTTGAGACAGCTGATATAAGCCTGAGGATTGTGTATATATCAGAAACATTATTCAAAGGAGTCTTCCTTTTGAACAGGGAAATGTTTAAGTGAATATTTCTATTTTAATACCTGAGCACTCACTGATCTATGTCAGTTTTGTAAGTTCTATGTTCAATGTATTGACATTTCGGTTTGGTGATAGCTTGGGGGATATTTTTGAGTTCAGACATTTTTATGGTCTTCTTGCTGGACTCAGGTTAATATAGCATTTTATTTTTTCTGTTCTAAGATTGGAAGTTTACTTCCTTTAGACTTATAGTCCTGATTTAGACACACTAGAGTTCAGATTTCTCTTCTAGATCCTTAATGATAAATAGGCTCAAAAGCTATTATTATTAAACCCCAATTTTACATTGGAAGGTTTTAAAAATTCCTCATTCTATTTTTTTACATTAAAAGACTTTAAAAATTATATTCATAAGTACAGTTCATGACATATTTGTGGCAAACACCATTAGGATCTATTGACAGAACTAGTGAATTTGAAGTCCATGGGCCCTTGAACTTGAGAAAATAATTTATTACATAATTGATTTGAAAAAGCTATGTCCTAAGATCCAGTAATAACACTATAGATATCTATTGCAGAAAAGCTCTCAATTATATGAACCAGTAGATATATGCAAAGAGCCTTCATAGCATTGTTCATAATAGCAAACACTTTTTATCCTTAATTTACATAAAGAGGACAATGAATACGTATCTATTGTGGTATATTCACAATGGGAGCTACTATGCACAGTGAGAATCAATGAACGACATCTACAGCTGAAACGCATAACTTTCAGAAACTATTGAATGAAAAAAGAAAATAAGACTCTAAATAGTATTATGCCATTTTTTTTTAAATTCAAAAAGCAGAAAAACCAGAGGAAATATTGTGTTATATGTAAATAAATATATAATCTAGTTTTTAAAAGTTATGCTAACTGTGAAAATTTAGGATAGCGGTGGCATGGGTTGGGCATAGTATGGCAGGGGAGGAACAGGGATAGTCTATGGAGGATACTTTATAAAATTTTATCTTTCCAAGCAGGTCCTCCTGGGTCATTATTCATCAGTATTTCTGGGCTCTTCTTGGAACTTTTCCTTTCCAACAATTTTAAGTTTGAAAATCCAGCTTGTAAAATCACTAGTCATTTGCCTTCAAAAATGTATTAAATTTATAAACTTAAAAATAGATTACTTTATATTTTAAAATTAATAATTTTATTATGGAGGTCTTGGGAAATGTAAATTTATTATTTGTTATTTATGCTTTCATTCCTATTTCATAGTAGTGTGTTTTGTTTTGTTTTTGTTTATTTTTGTGGGTCTATACTTTGCTTAACTTATTCTCTTGTATACCAAGATCAAGGTTGGGTACTTTTTACTTGTGTTTCTTTCCTCTTTCTTTAATTCTTACACTTTTCCACCGGAGAAAATTTGTAGTAGATTCTGCCTGTTCCCTAGGATGCTACCATCCTGAAACCAATTTCTCCTGTCATGAAAGATAAAAATGTGTCGTACTCAGGTTGAGCTTTCTGACTTTGCTGTGCCCTCAGGTTTTGTAATTGTTTGTCCCTGATAAATCCACCACCTTACATGTACTAACCATTCACAACTTTCTGCTCCAGTTCCCACTTGTTTGTTTACTTCTGTTTTAAGTCCTTTAAGTCCTTGAAGATTTATTTATTTTCTAGTGAATCTAGAAATGTATTAAAAGGTAAGACTGTAGGCAGAATCTGGTTATTTCTAGAAGAGAGGATCACTAACAGTACATAGTCTACCATACTGCTAAGTGGAAGTCTTGTGATATATTTTAATTTCTTCTGTTTCTTTAAAAATGCCATGATGTCTATACCCTGGAATCATATTGATGTATACAGATTCATACATCATATAGTCTTTCTAGTTTTATTGTCTGCTTCCAAAATTAAGATCCAAAATACTTTGTACAAAATGGTAGTTTTTTATTGCCTTATCTTACATAAGCTGGAAATATATTTTCCAGATTTCTCTTCTCTATAGGATGCTTAATCACCCTATGGAGAAATTGACATAAGACTTGGAAGGCAGAAATGAAGCAACAATTATAAAATTGGTGCAGGGCCCCAGGCATCATTGTGATTCAGAAATGCTGTGGTTGATTTGTTGGCTCACTGAATTGAAGGATGCCAGCAACATTAGTTCCTCCAGCCTTTGCTAGATCTTGCCCTTAACTTTCTCGTAGACCTGGGCCAGGCATAAGTGCATCTTTGTGCCGAGTGGCACAGACCTTTTTTCACAGATATTGTTGGAGTTAGATGTACTGACAGACTTGGATTTTAGATTATTTTCACGGATTTCAATTTATCCTTGTGAGTTCCATTTATCCTTGTGAGTTCCATTTGTCCTGTGAGATACTTACCTTTACTTTGCTTTTTTTTTTTTTATTCCTCCCAATTGCCTGCCTTACTAACTTGTAGCAATTGTGTGCTCACCATCAGAAAAGAGGCAATCACATTCAAGAAATTTCATTGTCCCTACTTGGTGACTGTATTAGTCCATCCTCACACTGCTATAACTGAAATACTTGAGATTGGGTAATTTATAAAGAAAAGAGCTTTAATCCACTCACAGTTTTGCAGCCTGTCCAGGAAGCATAGCAACATCTGCTTCTGGGGAGGACTCAGGAAACTTACAATCATGGCTGAAGGCAAAGTGGGAGGAGGCATCTTAGACGACAGGAACAGGACCAAGAGGGAGAGGGGGCAGGTGCTACATATCTTTAAACAGCCAGATCTCATGAGTACTCACTCACTATGACAACACACTAGGAAGGGGAAAACCTTCCCCATGATCTAATTACCTCCTCCCAGGCCCCATCTCCAACATTTTACAATTCAGCATGAGATTTGGGAAAGGACATAGATACAAACCATATGAGTGACTTAGGTGACTTTTATGTGATCACACTGTCTCTTTCAAGACTGTTATTTTCCCAGTCGTTCTCATTATTATGCAAAGTATAATGTCCATAATAAATCTCCTGTTCTATATTACTCTTAGTACTTCTTCCTTGAGCAAACTGTAATTGCTATGGCCATTATTGATCATTAAAATCAGAAAAAGAATCAAAAGTTGGTTTGATGTAACTATTGAAAAGAGCAAATATATAGGAATATATAGACTTCTGTTTGGATCTTCATTCTGCCTACTACTTCTCCTTTCATCTTAAGCAGTTTATTGGATCTTTCAGAGCCTAAGCTTCATAAACTTCCCAACTGTAAAATAAACATTATAATGGTATTTATGAGAATATGCACTTAGCACAGCTTCTAGGACATGGTACACTATGAATAATGTTTCTTCTTATTATTGTTCTTTCTTATCAAATATCAGAACTTAAAAGGAATTCACTATGTATTAGCTAAACTAATTTATGTCATTACTCGGGTTATGAAATTCAGGTGCAACTGATTTTGATTGCAGAATCTCCAAATCTCTTGATGCTATCTTTAAAATTCATGTTTAAGGTAAACATTGTATTTATTCTTTTCTCAGTAAATCCAACAATGATGAAGTATTTGAATCTAAATGTGAAAAGTATGTAATAGCCCTCATATCCAGTATAACCTGGTGTATTAATTCTGATTTTTTTCTGAAGACACATAAAATTTATGTGAAATAACTATTGTAGCTTATGCAATTCTGACATATTTTAACTTTTTAAAAATTATCTTTTAAGTTCTGGGTTACATGTGCAGAACGTACAGGTTTGTTACATAGGTATACATGTGCCATAGTGGTTTGCAGCACCCATCAACCTGTCACCTACATTAGATATTTCTCCTAATGCTATCCGTCCCCTAGCCCCCCACCCCCAGGCTGTGGTGTGTTATGTTCCCCTCCCTATGTCCCATGTGTTCTCTTTGTTGAATTCCCACTTTTGAGTGAGAACATGCAATGTATGGTTTTCTGTTCCTGTGTTAGTTTGCTGAGAATGATGATTTCCAGCTTCATCCATGTCCCTGCAAAGGACATGAACTCATCCTTTTTTATGGCTGCATAATATTCCATGGTGTATATTTGCCACATTTTCTTTATCCAGTGTATCATTGATGGCCATTTGGGTTGGTTCCAAGTCTTTGCCTCTATGAATAATGCTGCAATAAACATGTATGTGCATGCATCTTTATGGCAGAATGAGTTACAATCCTTTTGGTATATACCCAGTAATGGGATTGCTGGATCAAATGGTATTTCTGGTTCTAGACCCTTGAGGAATCGCCACGCTGTCTTCTACAACGGTTGAACTAATTTACACTCACACCAACAGTATAAAAGTTTTCCTATTTCTCCACATCCTCTCCAGCACCTGTTGTTTCCTGACTTTTTAATAATTGCCATTCTAACTGGCATGAGATGGTATCTCATTTAAATTATATGTTAATATATTTTAAGGCATTTAATCATAATTTTAATTTCACAGGTGAATATTTTTATGTTATGAGAAAGAATATTATAAAGTAATTATTTTATAGCAGTATAGAAATACCAAAACAATTCATTATTTCCAACTTATAAGCTACAGCAGGATATTGGTATATATTATATTAGATTTAATGAACCATGAAAAGCTATGATTAATGTAGAGAAGGCATTTTAATTTCTCTTCATGTATTTTAAGAGGCATATAAAATGAAATAATGAGCTGTATAAATTAAACCCATTTAAAAAACATGGAATGCTACTGTAAGATCATAAAGAATGTTGACCTAGGCATTGTCTTTCACTTGAATTTAACCCCACCGATGCATCAAATTCTCACATAATGCAAATTCTTCATGCTAGATTCTGATTTGTAAGAATTTTTTTCTCTCTCCCTCCCCCCACTCACAGGCATACATGCACACATACATATACGTATATGTGTATACAGTTTTTACATATACATATATTTGAGATGATCAGTAACTCAGTACTCCAGCAAATTTTGAAGTTTCATATTCAATCCAGTCTAATCCCAGGCCAATCAACTAAGGGTGGAAGAAAGGAAAAATCACTTCTGGAATGAAACCTTTTAAATATCAACTATTTGTCAAAAAATTTTTTGATATTTAAATAATCATGCATAATATTTTGAACTTTGAGAAAAATTAATATATTGATCAGATGTTAATATATAAGAAGGAATTAAGAATTATGTATATAATTTCTAGTAAGGCTTACTCTTTGCAAATTACAATAATACCCCTAAAAAGTCTTACAACAAAAGGTAGTCTGAATAATGTAATAAGGCTCATTATCATCAACCCCTAATTAATCCATTATTCATGCAAATATGGAGTAGCTATATGAAAGGTAAATAATATATTAATACAGATGTATTATTAGATAAATATGTTCCATTTATCAGGTAAATCTGAATATTAAATACCTTTAGTGGGATGTGGCTGACTGAGCCAGAATGGGACCTGGAAATGGAATCCCTGGGATGAAGTTTCAATTTCATCTGAAAACATAGAACATTCTAACTAAAAATATGGACACAGATAACAATAGGCAAAGCTCTCATTATAAGTGGTGTAATTTCAAGAAGTCTCTAGGCATCTTTACAAGCTGGTGTGGGAATGTTATGGAAATTCCAGTCCCAGTGAGGTTGGTAGTCTCAGTGCAAGAAAAAAATCTCCATAACTACTAGGATAAAAAATCGTTAAGAATTGGATTTAGCCACAGGACTTTAGTTTCAGATAGAAGTATTATTAAGACTAAGAAGATACTCTCAGGTATGTAAAAGGGATAATAGGCTTCTTATTAATACAGTAATTGATCAACTTATCAGAATTGGGATAAAAGCTCAAAATGGGGTTCATAATTATGGTATGTATAACTGTTTTTAAACTTGAGTAAAAGTGGTTCCTTTATTACTCCATGTGCTTTAGAAGAAACCACATATATTGTAGATTTCTTGGTATATAAGTACAAAAATCTCTTTAGGGAAAACATATATGAATAGAATTGCAGGTGATACAATGGTTCAATTTTGCCAAATAATGCTACAACCTTTTCCAAAAAGACCATGTGAATTTATTCTTCTACCAGCAATGTGTGAGATTCCCATTTGCAATTATTTCTCATAACTTTTTTGACTTTTTATGCTTTTAAACAATTTTATAACATTGAAATGATATCTAAATATTTTGATTTTCATTTTTCTAAGGAGCTTTTACAGGTTTTCAAATGCGATTTGGCCATTCATTTTCCTTCTTTTGTGCAATGACATATGCTCTCTTTTGGAAATATTCTGCATAACTGTTTTTATTTTGCCTTTGGACACAGAGTTTTTCTGAATATTAGACTTGAAAATATGAAATATATTTTATATGTTCCTTATGTCTTTTACTTATCTGTGATTCACCATTTCAACTTCTTTATAGTATTTGGATACATGCAAATGAAATTTAGTCTATTTATACATATTATTTTCTCTATTGCTTGTATTTTTTCAAAAAAATTTTCATTAAGATAATTCCTCTATTGTTTCTACTGTTTATATTTTCTTTAAAAATATTTTTTCTGGAGAAGAACTAAGGTGGCCAATGGACACAGCAAAGAAGAGCATCTCCCACCAAGACATGAGACCATAAAGAAGACAGGTATACTCTGAGCAGGTCTTAGAAAGGATGGCATTGAGAATGGATGGAGGGTGGACATAGATCCTGGGCTGAAGTGGGAGGAAGCTGGGATGCTGAGCACCACGACTCGTTTCTGGCCCACAGTGGCTCTTGGTGAGTTAAATAGGTGAGAAGTGGCCTACTCTTGCCACATACTTCCAGAATTCTAGTTTCAGGAGACTCCACAACTTCCACAGACATTTTTCCCACCTTAGAAAGGTGGCAGGGACAGGACTCCAGATTGTGTTGAATACAGGTTTGGCATTGGAGCACAGCAAGGGATGCCAAGCCACAAGGCTCACAACATACCTTTAGGTGGCCTTGGCTTTTGTTGACTGTCAAACCTGGACAGATAAGGGCAACCTTGCCCATGGGATGGAGCCAGTCTGATCTGAATGCACCCCTGTCTACCAGCCTCTCCTGGGATTCCTCCCTGGCCATGTCTGCTTGAAGCACAACCTTGGATGCCCAAATGGAGTACTTCCTGGCAGCAACCACCATAGCTCATTTGCAGGTAGTTCCTACCTAACTGTTGGAGAGCTTCTGCAGATGGTCCCCCTCCAACATGCACCCACACATAGCTTCCCACACCATTTTCCTGGCAGTCAACCACCTGCAGCCTCTCAACACCACTTTGCCACTGCATGAGTGGACCTCAGTGCCCCACTGCCAGCAGTGTTTGTGCATGCATGGACTTCACTACAGTTACCCCACTCCTGCCAATGCACATTGCAGACACCACTGTTACTGCTCTGACAAAGTGCTCTTGCAGACACTGCCCATTGGAGTATTGTTGCAAGCACACCAGGAATACCCAGGTTCCTCAAATGCAGTGGGTGCTTAACTTTGAGGGGCTGGAGAACAAAGCTTTGGGCCTGATCTCAGCCATCCAGGGAGAGAGCACAAAGCCGAGGAGGGCTGAGCTGAGCCTTGGCCCCCTAAAATTATCCAGAAACAAAGCCACTTGACTGAATCCAAGTTATGCTACAGTCAAACCCTCAACAGCATCAAAGAAAACAAAAGCAAAAAGTCTCAGCCAGGCTGGGAGCAGTGGCTCATGCCTGTAATCCCAGATATTTGGGAGGCTGAGGTGGGCAGATCACAAGGTTGGGAGCTCAAGACCAGCCTGACCAATATGGTGAAACCCTGTCACTACTAAAAATGCAAAAATTAGCTGGGTGTGGTGGCGTACCTATAGTCCCAGCTACTTGGGAGGCTGAGGCAGGAGAATCATTTGGAGCTAGGATGTAGAGGTTGCAGTGAGCCAAGATTGCATCACTGCAGTCTAGCCTGGGCAACAGAGCAAGACTCTGCCTCAAAAAAAAAAAAAATCTCAGCTAAAGGACAGTAAGTTCAAAGATTAAAGGAACATCAGCCCACACATGAGAATTGAGAAAGCACCAATGCAAAAACTCTGACAATTCAAAAACCAGTGTGTCTTCTTACCTCCAAGTGACTGTACTAACTCCCCTGCAATGATTCTTAATGAACTTGAAATGGCTGAAATGACAAACACAGAATATGGATGGCAACAAACATCACTGAGATTCAGGAGATAGTTGAAACTCAATCCAAAGAATCTAAGGAATCTAGTAAAATGAATCCAGTCAAATGATACAAGAGCTGAAAGGTGAAAAGGCCACTTTAAGAAAGAATCAAACTGATCTGATAGAGCTGAAAAACTCACATCAAGAATTTCATAATGCAATCGCAAGTATTAACAGAAGAATAGACCAAGCTGAGGAAAGAACTTCAGCGTATGAAGAATAGTTCTTTGAGTTAACTCAGTCAGATAATAAAAAATTAATAAACAAAACCTCTGAGAAATATGTGATTAGGTAAAGAGATTTAACCTACAACTTGTTGGCATCCTTGAAACAGAAGGAGAAAGAACAAGCAACTTGGAAAACATATTTGAGGATACTATCCATGAAAATATCCCAAACATCTCAAAAGATGTTAACATTCAAATTTGGTAAATGCACACAACCCCCATGAGATGCTATACAAGATGACTATCCCCAAGACACAGAGTCACTAGATAGTCCAAGATCAATACAAAGGACAAAATATTAAAGGCAGCTAGAGAGAAACAGTGGGTCACCTACAAAGGGAAGCACACTAGACTAACAGCAGACCTTTCAGTGGAAACCTGACAAGCCAGAAGAGATTGGGGGCCTGTGCTCAGCATTCTTAAAGAGCAAATTCCACACAAGAATTTCATATCCAGCCAAACTAAGCTTCATAAGTAAAGGAGAAATAAAATCTTTTTCAGACAAGCAGATGCTAAGGGAATTTCTTACCACCAGGTCTACCCTCAGGAGGTCCTTAGGGGAGTGCTAAAAGACCAAAAGACTGTTACCAGCCACCACAAAACACAGGTATGTACATAGGCCATTGACATTATAAAGCAATTACTGCATAACAACCAGCTAACAACACAATGACAAAATCATATCTGCACAAATCAATATAAATCTTGATTGTAAATGGGCTAAAGGCAAAGAGTGGCAAATAGGATATAAATAAATAAATAACCAACTGTGTGCTATCTTCAAGAGACCCATATCACATGCAATGACACCCACAAGTTCAGAGCAAAGAGATGTTGAAAAATCTACCAAGCAAATGGTAAACAACAAAAGAGCAGGTGTTGCCATTCTTATTTCAGACAAAACAGACTTCAAACCAGCAACAATCAAAAAGGATAAAGATGGGAGGCCAAAGTGGGAGGATTGTTTGAGGTGGGAGTTTGAGACAAGCCTGGGCAATAAAGCAAGATACTGTCTCTAAAAAATGAGAAAATGAGACAGGTGTTGTGGTATATGCCTGCAATCCCATCTACTTGGAAGGCTGAGTTGGGAGGATCACTTGAGCCTGGTAGGTCAAAGCTGCTGTGAGCCATAATCACACCACTACACTCCAGCCTGGGCATCAAACTAAGACCTCGTCTCAAAATAAAATAAGATAAAATAAAAAAGGAAAGGAAATGGAAAAGAGACAAAAAAGCATTATGTAATGATAAGAGTTCAATCCAACAAGAAGACTTAAATATTCTGCATAGATACACACCAAACACCGGAGTACCCAGATTCATAAAACAAATTGTTAGACATATACAAAGAGACTTAAATGACTACACAATAGTAATGAGAGGCTTTAATACTCCACTGACAGTATTAGATAATTGACGCAGGAAACTAACAAAGATATTCAGGACCTAACCTCCATACTTGACTAACTAGACTCAACAGACATCTACAGAACACTCCATTTAACAGCAACAGAATATACATTCTTCTCATTTGCACATGACATATGTGCTAAGTTGACCACATGCTCAGCTATAAGACAATTCTAAAAATTTAAAACAAATCTTACAAACCACACTCTCATACCACAGTACAATAAAAGTAGAAATCAGTACTAAGATCTCTCAAACTATACAATGTCATGAAAATTAAACAACCTAACCCTGAATGAATATTTGAAGTAAACAGATTAAGCCAGAAATCAAAAAGTTCTTTGACACTAATGAAAACAAAAGTACCATATATCAGAATCTGTGAGAAATATCTAAATCAGTGTTAACAGGAAAGTTTGCAGTACTAAATACCTACATTAAAAAGTAAGAAAGATATCAAATTAACAAACTGACATCACACATAGAGGAAATAGAAAAACAAGAGCAAATCAAAAACCATGAAAAACCATATGAAAATTCAATGAAACTAAAAGTTGGTTCTCTGAAAGAATAAATAAATTTGATAGGCCACCAGCTAGATCAATAAAGAAAAAAAGAGAGAAGATTCAAATATGCACAATCAGAAAGGACAAAGGGGACATTACCTCCGATCCCACAAAACCATAAAAAAAATCCTCAGAGACTATTATGAACATCTCTATGCATACGAACTAGAAAACATAGAAGTAAGAGATAAATTCCTGGAAACATACGCTTCCCAAGATTGACCCAGAAAGAAATTGAAACCCTGAACAGACCAATAACAAAGTTGAGAAATTTAATCAGTAATAAAAGCCTACCAACCAGAAAAATCCCTGGGCCAGAAGGATTCACAGCCAAATGCTATCAGACATAAAAAGAAGAGCTGAAATCAATCCTACTGAAACTATTCCAAAAAATTCAGGAAAAGGGACTCCTTCCTAACTCACTCTAAGAGGCCAGCATCATTCTGATATCAAAATCTGGCAGAGACACAATGAAAAAGAAAACTACAGGTCAATATTCTTGATGAGCATAGATCAAGAATCCTGAACAAAGGGCTGAGTGTGGTGGCTCATTGCTGTAATCCCAGCATTTTGAGAGGCCAACACCAGAGGATTACTTGAGACTAAAAGTCTTGTCATCAGTTGCATGCCTGAATGCTAAATATTCAGCAATGAAAGAGTCTCTCAGATCCCCATAGAAAAAGATTATGCAAGGTACTCTTGGGCATTGTATTAGTCTGTTCTCACACTGCTCATAAAGACATACCTGAGACTGTATAATTTATAAAGGAAAGAGGTTTAATTGACTCAGTTCCACAGGGCTGGGGAGGCCTGGGGAAAGTTACAATCATAGCAGAAGGGGAAACAAATACATTATTCTTCACATGGTGGTGGAGAGAGAAATGCCAAGCAAAAGGGAAAAAGCCCCTTATAAAAAGAAAAAAAAAAAGGTAGATTTATGTATAGTCATGGTGGCTTTGCATGGTTAATACAGACATTAGTGTTATGAGATAATTTTCAAAAAAGGTAAAATTAGGACTATCATACAGATATAAATATGAATGCATGCTAGACATTTTATTTAACTAATAATGAGAAAACCAGGAAAATTTTATAATGGCTTCAAAAGAGGATCTAAAGAACAGCCATAATTATAGAAGAGGAACATTAAATTGAATTCATAAATGGAGGTAAAACTAACTTCTTCTACCGGTGGGAGAGAAGTCAGTTAAGGTACTCCCTGACAAGACACAGTTTGTATACCTAATGAAAAGAACTTTCTTGCTTTGCCATCAGTAGCTTACAATTTATAAATTTGTAAAACAGCTATAATGAACACAAATGACACAAAGCTAAATATTGTGCTAGAAAAAATGCACAATTTTTCATCAAAATAACCATTTTCCAAATAGTAACACTAGTGTTTTTTTCATGTTCACTTACATTATTAATATTGTCACATTTAACACAATAGATGGCTCTCTTTTTGTGTGTGAGAGATGAATGTCGCAAAGTTATCTTTTCTACCTGTTTGTTATGTCTCATTTCAAACCATTGAGATGTCCATGTTAGTCTTTCTCTATTACATTATGTTCCACTCACTGTGCATCATATACAGCCTAATTTTATTCTCCTTTCTTATAAACCTATTCGTACTTGTGGTTTCCTTGCACATGTGAAGACTTTGTAGTGCTTCAGTAGCACAGAGTAAAAGAAGTGGAGAGAGCCCCCTTTGTTTGACAAGTGATGCACTCCAAGAACGGATATGAGATCCATTATTCTATGATTGCTATGTGATTTGTAACTCTGGGCATTTTGTGGCGGTATTTTTTGTTTTTAAATGGCAATATACTTCTTACTTCATGACAGAGCTTCTATTTCATGACTACTCTTGTTTATCATTATTTGAAAGCTCTTTTTATAGATGAAGACTTTTTTTTTTTTTTTTTTGTAGAAAGTGATTTATTTAGAGAGAAACAGGAGAAGGAGAGAGAAACAGCTAACTCTCACAGAGTGAGAGAATCCAGAAAGATGGAATCCAGGAGAGGAAAGCAGCTTCCACACTGAGTGGAAGGGAATAGAGAGAATGGAGTTTAGGAGGGGAAGACAGGCTTCCACGAGAGTGCGGAAGGGGACTCCAGAGGGGAAATCCAGGAGAGAGAAAGACAGCTTCCATGAGAGTGTTTGTGGAAGGGGACCCAAACATGGAGTCCCTGAAGACATTTTAATTTAGTTTTAGGGAAAGGCTTCTGTTTAAGCAATAAGCAACTATAGTCATTTTTGAATTTTTATTTAAGTCAGCATTAACTAAGAATATGAGTTTTACTAATTTGTTTTTGAAATTTATGGCAGAACTCAACGAAACAGCTGAGTGGTGTGTAGGAGAGGGTTCTACCTTCTAGTCATTATACATCTAATAAACTTTTCCTGAATTTGTTGCCTTGTTTTATAGCCGTCTTTGTTTATTTGTTTAATTGTTTTAAGAATTCAAAATCCATTCTGTTATTATTGATTCATTTTCATTTTCTTTCCTGTGTGGCATTTGAACTCTTATGCACAGAGTTCATGAGTTTCTTTGGGTATTTAGATATTGAGAACATGGATTTTGCTTCACATCTCTACCACTTTGTAGTTGCTTAAATTCATAAAGGGCTAGTTTCTTCTTAAGTAAAATTGAAGATAAAACTTAAATTCAATAATCTCTGTAAATTATTTCCTATGATTATAAAATGCTAAAATATGAAATAATTATTAGCTGTCAATTACATTATCATGCCTGTGTACCCTTTACCCTTGCTCTAGAGCACTTTTGTACCTTTGAGCATAAAATTATAGCACCAGTACTACTGGAGAAATAATAATATGATGATAACAGCTAATATTTACTGTGAATTTACTATTACAATCCATATTAATTATTAAACCTATTTTTTAAATGAGGTATACTAGTGGCAGAGAGAGTTTTCATCATGATTGTCAGCTTCAGCTCTTTTGTTCTTTCTTTTAGTTACTCATCTAATATTTATTATTTGTTCCTCATCCTACTCAATGTACAGACATGGCATCCTCAACAACATAGATGAAGTCTCAGCTCTCAGTTAAATCTGACATAAAAAGATGGATCATAAACAACCAAACAAATTAAAAATTAGGGAAGGAAATAAAGCTGGTATTGTAGTAGAGTAAATTATTTGTTGAGGGGCACTTTTAGTTTGGGTGCCAGAAAAATTCTCTGAAGAAGTGGCCTTTGAACATGGACCTAGGTGACAAAAAAGACCTAACCATGTGAAGATTTGGGAAAAGACTGAAGAAGTACATAGGTATAGAAGTAATAATAAGCTTGGAAAGGTCAAGGTGCTGTCTTAATACCCTTCTTTCTGGAAATTGATGGAAGTGATCCATGGAAAAAATAAACAGAGAAGATCACACACAGCCTTGAAGGGCTCCATAAAGTGTTTGGGCATTTATTCTGTATAAAGTGGAAAGCTGCTGGTAGGTTTTTATTAGGGAAGAGGCATGATCTCATGAAGTCTTATGGTTTTATGATATATATGGTGACATCAGGGATTCAATAGATTTTAAGGGAATATAAATAGAAACAACAGGTCAGAGCCTGTTGCAGTAGTCCAGGTGGATAATTTAAACTCAACAAAAAGACAGAATAACATCCCTCCACCATGAAAGGCATACTTCCTAGTTTCTGAAGCATGTGAATGGTTTAAGTTAAATGGCAAATGGGAGTTAAGGTGGTAGATAGAATTAAGGTTGCTAATCATCTGATTCTAAGATTAGATTATCCTGGATTATCCAGGATTGTTAAAGGGTCCTTATATGGGGAAGAGGGAGGTAAAAGAGTCACAACCAGAGAGATGGCTCTTTTATGAGAAAGACACAAGTGGCAATTGCTGGCTGTTAAGATGTAAGGGAACCTCTCTAGAGGTGGGGAAAATAAAAAAATGGATTCTCCTTTAGATCTTCTGGAAAAGAACCCAGCTGTGGACACCTTGATTTCAGCCTAGTAAAACCTAGTTCAGATTTCTGACCATGAGAGCCATAAGATAATAAATTTGTGTTGCTTTATGTTGATACTAAGTGTGTAGCAATTTGTTACAGTAGCTATAGGAAACTCATACAGATAGCTTGAAATAGAGTGGGGTAACGCCATGAAGAGGAGAGATGAGCATCAGGAAGTATTTTGGGGCCAGGTTCTATGAAACATGCTGGTGGATTAGATAGGGTGGGGTGGAAGCAAAAAACAAATAAAAAATTGCCTTAGAAAACTGAGTGCCATTAGCTAAGAAAGGAAAGACTGGGAGAAAAACAACACCAGACAAGGGATGGCAGGGAATTAATATTTCTGTCTCAGCATGTTATGTTTTGGTTCACTGACATCCTACAGACAGAAAGAATATGCTAATAATAATAAAACCTTTGAGAAAACTCTGAAATTCCCATGAAATTACTGAGCTTAAAAAAATCCAGATGTTTAGCATGATACAGACCTGGGGTTGACAAACTTTTCTGTAAAGGGTAGGATAGTAAATATTCTAGGCTTTGTGGGCCATACAGTGTCTGTAATAACTACTCAACACTTTTGTTGACATTCAAAAGCCACCACAGACTTGAAAACAAATGGGGAGGTTGTCTTCCAAATAAGACTAAAAGTCAGCCTGCGAGTTTGATTTGTACAATGGGGTGTATAGTTCATCAACCTCTGTAGAATCTCAGAGCACTTATTTCGAAATTTGTATTAAAAATGTGTATGCCACTTTATAGAGGCAGCATTTATATCACAAAAGGAGGAAAAATCACTTCATTGTGCTAGTTATTGCAAGTTAAATCAATGTATTATGATTCATTAGCTTAGTTAACATTTGTTGTAACACTCACTATGCTGAGAATTTTTCTTGTGCTATGTGACTTAAGCTTCTCAAAATCCAATGAGTTATTACTATTATTTCTTATTTTACAAATGAAGTAACTGAAGTTTGAGAGATAAACAAATAACCAGGGTTTGGGAAAGATGTATATTCCTTGTTAAATAATACCTTATCGATTATTAAATGACCTTTTACATCTAGTTAATAGCAGATCTGTAATTTCAATCCAAATCTAGGCTAAATCACTTCATCATTGCACTGCAGTTTGCATAGCTATTCTGAGGCCACTTGGTCTGTTACCTCTGACAATTATGTGAATATTTATAAAAATGTAAAAGATAAAAGTTTTGGAATGCTCATAGATGGCTCTGATAAAATCTAATAAGATCTCTTTTTAAAATCATTAATTCTGAACTTGCATAAACCCCACATCTGACTGAAGTATGTTTTTAAATAGAACTAATCATAACATAGTTACTTTCATTTTACATAAAGGATAAGAACACATTTTCTTTCACTCTGAATAAAAGACATGCAGGTCTAAGAAGTGTATCATAATCCTAGACACTGAAATAAAGGGAACGTATCTCAGCCTTTATTCCCATTTAGTAGCCTCAAATATTCTTCTCCATTTATTTCAAATGCTACTTTGATCTAAAACATTTCTCTGCGTGCCTCTTATTTTAAAAAATTTGTATTTTTAGATTGTTTCAAATGCCTCTCTGACAAATCAATCTGTGACCTAACACACTTCTATCATACTTCATTTAAATAATGAAACATAATTAAAAGACTGATGTTAGAGTCAAGGACAGTATTAATCTAACTCTGTTTAAATATATTTACTTGTAAATATAGCAGTAGAGTTGAGTCTTCTCTGCTGAATTCTTAGAATACAGTTGAAAGAACAATGCACTGAAGGTACACAGCATTTTTTTTTTTCTTTTTGAGATAATATCTCATTCTGTTGCCCAGGCTAGAGTGCAGTGGCACAATCATGTCTCACTGCAACCTCTACCCCTTGGGCTCAAGTGATC